GGGGTCCGCAGCCCCGTGGCCGAGCGGCGCTCGCCGTAGGACCTGCAGCGGACCGGACCGCTGGGCGCCGAGAGCCCGGCCCCGCACTCCTGCAGACGCGTGTTCATACAATCCCAATTTTTTTAATGAAACCAATTTGTTTTTTTTGTTTGTTTTTTGTTTTTTGCTTTTAGAAGCTCTGGATCCACAAGCAAGCACAAACGGCATGCAGTTTCTCGCAGGACTTGCAAAGAGTTCTGGGTAGCTCACGCGGCCGGGCCGGAGCACAGTCTGTTGTGTCTTAAGGTCGATTCGTCCTAAAACCGATTCCCTTCCTCCTGCCTCTGCCCCTTTCCCTGTCTCTTCTGGGGGTTTTTTCCCCTGTTTTTTTCTCTCCTCCTCGACCCTGGCAGTCAGGAAAGCCACCCGCGGGCGAACCGGCTCCGCTGGCCCCTGAAAGGCTGTCCTTGTGCCTGCAGCCAGAGCTACCCAGAATCCCCCGAGACAAGAGCAGCAGTCTGTTGAGCACCAGGCATCATCTGTCACCATGACAACCAGACATCATCATCATCACCGCACAGCACAGGCCAGAGAGAGGCTGGTGTTGGTCACGGGGGAGGGCACTGGGGTACAGGGGGGAGACAGAGGGAGAGGGCGGAGAAGGGGTGATGGGGTACACAGTGAGGGCAGGAGAGGAACTCGGGTGTTTCAGGTTTCAGGTAGTGTTTTACAACATTAAGGGTTCTACTGAAAACATACGTTAACAAATAGACAGTAAGTGTTTCAGAGCTAATCATTCTTTAATGGACCACTGAGGTCCACAAACCCCACCCCCTTCGTTAAAATGTGACCTTCAGTGGGCCCTGGGAAACCTGTCTGGTGGAGCTGTGGGATCAGGGGGAGTGGGGTTAGGGATTAGGGAGAGTGGGGTATAGGGATTAGAGGGAGTGGGATTAGGGATTAGGGGGAGTGGGGTATAGGGATTATGGAGAGTGAGGTTAGGGATTAGGGGGAGTGGGGTATAGTGAGATTAGGGGCACTGGGATCCAGACTAGGGGATATGACTGTGGGTGGAGATCTGGGAATCCCGTGGCAGAGACAGCGAGGAGCAGCAGGGCTCCAGGTCCTGACAGCAGGCTGAGGGCCACAGCGCTGCAGGGAGGTCCTGCTCTGCCCAGGGGGCAGCAGGGAGGCGTCCAGGCCTGTCTGCCACTTCCTCACAACACACAGGACACAACAAGCAGGCAGTCTCACCCCGACTGGCCACCCAGCACAGCCCGGTCCTGTCCTGTTTAGCCCAGTCCAACACTTTCCAGTCCAGTCCAGTCCAGTCCAGTCCAGCTCAGTACAACCCATTCCAGCACCTTCCAGTCCAGTCCTGTTACGCACAGCCTAGTCCAGTCCAAGACAGCCTGGTCCAGTCCAGCATAGTCCAGTCCAGCACAGCCTAGTTGAGTACAACTTATCCAGCGCAGCACAGTCCAGTCCAGTCTAGCTCAGCTCAGTCCACTGCAGTCCAAAGAAGTCCAGTCCAGCTCAGTCTCGTGCAGACCAGTCCACTTCAGATCAGTCCAGTGCAGTCCAGTCCAATCCAGCCATAGCCAATCCAGAACGGTCCAGTACATGCCCAAGAACAGTTCAATATAGTCCAGTCCAGGACAGTCCATTCCAGTCCAGTCAGACTGTGAGAAAGCCATGTGAAATGGACAGACAGTCAGACAGAGACACACAAACAGGCAGACACACAAACACACAGTCAGGCAGGCAGACAGACAAACAGACACAGTCACACAGGCAGAAAGACAGTGACACACACACAGACAGACAGACAGACAGACAGACAGACAGACAGACAGACAGACAGACAGACAGACACAATAACGCAGGCACACAGACTCACACAGACACACACAGACACACACAGTCACACAGACACACAGGCAGTCAGGCAGACGAGTCTAGACAGCCCTGGGTCACTCGAGAGAGGGGACAGGTCTCCTGCCCCGGGCCGGCTCCTGGCCTGTGGGGGTGGGGGGCTGCTCCCATGATGCCCAGCAGCGTGAGGTCACACATCACAGGGGCGCAACATTCGGGACAAGGTGCCAGCAGTCTCACACACAGCATCCTCATCGTCACACCGAGCGCTGCCCCACGAAGCCGGCGCCCCCAGACCGCCGTCCGCGCCCCAGGACAGAGACGCCCAGGGGCTGGAGCTGAGCGAGCCTGCTCCGTCCTGGGCTCGGTTCTGTCTCCAGGACGCATTCTCCCGGGATCTGGGGCTGCCCGGTTTCACAGGGCTGGGCTCCACAGTGAGAACAGCAACAACGACAATCGGAAGAAGAGGAGTTGCCACAAGTCAGAATTACCAAATTAAACGAAAAAACAAAGTGACCGCTAACAAAAGGAGGTGCCGTACGACGGAGAAGGAAACAGAAGAGCTTGTGCTGATAAACCAACCAAGAGACGGATCAAGGCACATTGAAATCCACAGTGACAGCTGGCCCGTTTTCACGCTCACAGCCATAGAAAGTGATGGACGAGCAGAGGAAGATGCACCAACACATCCAGCGCTCCACGGCAACGCGTCATGCAGCCCGCATGACTGGTCGCTCGGGGCAACGGCCAATCGCCACGCCGACCCAGGCAGCGCCACGGCAACCACACAAGCCAACTTACACCTGAGGGGGGGAAGGGGGGCGGGTCTACGGCTCCCGTGACAGCTAATGGCTGGCTAGGGTAACGTCATAGCGACGCTGTCGTCTCGATTTATGATTGGACCCTGTCTGGGCTGGGCGTGGTTTAACAGTGAGAAAAAAAGGGAAAAAGGGGTTTTTGTAGTTTTTCGTCTCGTACTTCTATCATACGGCTTCAATACACATGATGACATGGGGTGATTTGTTTGTAAGATCAGTCATGCCTATGGGACACGTAAAATTCTATTGGCTAAGGAGGCACGTCAATCTTTCACAAAGGCCCCACCTCCCACTTTGCCACACCCCCATCTTCTATTGGTGACCAATCGCCTTGCCTGTTAGCATTGAGTGACATGCCCCTTGTCTTTTGGCCCCTCCTCCTTTTGAGAGTCACACTTATCCCCAGATCACCCCATGTCACTATAGACATGTCACTGTAGTCAGAAATGCACACATTCTCCCTCACTCCACCTCCACCCTCCTCTTTCCATCCATAGTCTGTTCATTTCCCTTCGGGATCAATAAAGTCTTATCTAATCTAATCTAATCTAATACTGTCCCCTCCCTCTACACTGGTCTTTCTGTGCATCTCTCTCTCAGTACTGACCTCTGTCCACCCCTCTTTCACTACTGACCTCCTCTCCCCTCTGTGCATCTCAGTACTGACCTCTGTCCTCAGTACTGACCTCTGTCCATCTCGCTTTCAGTACTGACCTCTGTCCATCTCTGTCCTCAGTACTGACCTCTGTTCATCTCGCTCTCAGTACTGATCTCTGTCCATCTCACTCTCAGTACTGACCTCTGTCCATCTCTCTCTCCGTACTGACCTCTGTCCACTTCTCTCTCAGTACTGACCTCTGTCCACTCTGTCTCTCAGTACTGACCTCTGTCCACCTCTCTCAGTATGGCCGGTTGGCATCTTTCGGTCTCTTCAGCTGGACCTTCAGTCTCTTCATTCCGATCTGGAATCCGTTCATGGCCTGGATCGCCGTCTGGGCACTGGCAGGATTGTCAAAGCTGACAAAGCCTGGAGAGAGGGAGAGGGAGGGAGGGAGGGAGAGGAAGAGGGGGAGAGGGGGAGACAGAGAGAGGGGGAGAGAGAGAGGACAGAGAGGGAGAGAGAGACAGGGATGGAGGGATGGAGACAAAGCAAGTGATCAAAAAAGCCTCCAAAACAACATTCTTGAGACTCTCTCCTCTTCCTCCTCTCCCATTCTCCTACACATCCTCCTCTCCCTCTCTCCCCCTTCCTCCTCTGCCTCTCTCCCACTCTCCCTCCTCACCGAAGCACTTGCTCTGGTTGGTCGCTCTGTCCACGAACACCTTGGCTGAGATAACGTTCCCAAAGGGCAGGAACATCTGGAGCATCTCGGAGTCGGTGAACTCCTGGGGCAGGTGGTAGATAAAGATATTGCAGCCCTCCGGCCCTGAGAGAGGGGGGCAGGAGACACAGGGGGTTACTCCAGACGCTGACCACCAGGGGGGAGACAAGAGCAGCTCCTCACCGAGACACGCTTCCTGGTTTCCTGAGCTGGACTGGTGATTGGCTGCTGCCCTCAGTGCTGAGAACGAATAAGAAGTGAGCTCACCTTCTCTTTGTTGCTGCTGCTGGGGCTGCTGGTGTTGCTGGGCAACGATTGCGTGTTGCTGTGGAAACGGCTGGCCGACCAAGCCGTATGCTGCTGGGTAGGCCGCTAGCAAAATGAAGGAACCATTAAGAAGCGGAAGAGAGCTTTTCACAGCAGCGCAAAGGGCAGGTAGACAGGGCACACAGAGAGACAGACTGTCACCTAGACAGTCAGACAGGTGGGCAGACAGGCAGGTGAGCAGACAGGTGAGCAGACAGGCAGGTGAGCAGACAGGTGGACAGACAGGCAGGTGAGCAAACAGGTAGACAGACAGGCAGACAGACAGGCAGGTGAGCAGACAGGTGGACA